TTTTTGTTTCAAACAGAAAAATAAAAGCTGGGTGGTGAGTTCGGATTAACTCTCTGATTTGGGCAACTGTAGAGGGTCCACTCAGCCCTCTACAGTTCCACACCGCAGCTAACATTTGTCACTTGGGTGCCAATCGAGGCTGGCCACCCCCACCTTATCAGAAGAAAGCTTTTAATTTCTTACTCTCAACTAAGATAAGTGATTTACCTTTGTTGTTGTTGGTATGATCATCTGTTTTTTTGTCTGTGCCTTTTCCCAGGAGCAGGAGAGTCCCTAATGACAAGGCTAGCATTTAGTCTTTGGAGTCTGCCCTCTTTGGTTCCTGCTCTTTTCCATGTTCTGGTAAGTGGCTTTTGAGTCATCAGAATGTCATCCTTTCCATTGCTGACCTGTTGTGGAGAAATCCTGGATTGAGAAACATCCAGTTCCATGGTTTTGATAGGTTCATTTGTATGTCTTTAGCTATGTCAGAGAGAATCATATAAGTGGTGCTCAAAGGATGTATCTTCACAGGAGACCCAGGCTGCTTACAGTTTCCCTCCTCTGGAGATCTAGAAAGATTAGAATTTGGCAGCTGTTGTTGACTTGTGTTACCTTGAACCATAAATAGTTGGTTGTTATCCTCCACTTGGCTGGTAGAAGTTTTCAAGGGTGATTGTTGATCTGGGGGAATAGGGTCATTTGAGGGTGAACCCCTTGTAACAGATGTACTCATTCCAGCCCAATGTTGCCCATCTAAAGCCTTCATCCAGTCACCATACTGCCTTCCTTTAATGATTTGCTACTTATGTCTTCCATACGTTTTGAGCAACCGCTATCTAAATACCCAAACCAGTCCACAATAATGACAGAAGTTAAAAAGCTTCTCGTATTTGAAGCTAACACTAACAATTTGCTCACCCAATCTGATTTTGGAGCATCGAGGGAGAGCTTCATTTAAATCAATAGTCACCAGCAAACGAAAAACTTTCCCCCATGGCTTCCAGCTCCCACCACAACAACATTTTTTACCTGCTTGAACACTTGACCAATTTTCAACCCAACCTCCGTACGCAGCCAGTTTAGAGGAACATTAAAAACCCGGACCCATAGATTGAGTTCTTGAAATACAGAATGGTTACTGGAGAGACCAGCTTGCCAATCTGATAGGATAAGGAATTGATTGTCAATGCTCCAGTTTGTGCCCTTAGCTACTCTGTCCATATCATCTTTGCATTGGAAGATGAATTGGAAAAAGTTATGTCCAAGTTCATTGACCTCCATTGTCCACAAAGCTTCCAAATGAAACTCATTGTACGCTTAACCCCTATCCAACTTGCTTTCCGGTCATCTATAACTTTCCCAAACTCTTCATCACTGAGTTTAATATCCTTTTGGCCGATATCAATTATGGAGTATTCCCTGGTGGATAGAGAGAAATTTTCCATCTTCTGCAAGATATCATCGTCTTGCCCGATGGAAGGAATAGGTTCCCATTAGAAACCAGGGTTATCCAGCTGAGAAATTGCAGAAGAAACTGAAACTAGAAACCGATCAATGTCAATAATTTAGAAAATGAAACTAGAATGGATTGAAGATCAAAACGAAGATGAGAATGAAATGTGAATCACTCTCCAAGAGAGAATCATGGGATTATATCTACATCTTATCAATTAGTATTGTTATGTGTGTTCTTTTTTTGTGGTAAATAAAGTCGAAACAAGATTAAAATGAACAAAATTTTTATATGTGAAAAATTGCAGTACATTATGTTTGTGTGCATTATTAAATGCATTAATATGCATATGGTATAACTTTGTTGTGCATTATGTTACTCACTAAATTAATATTTTTTTTATTTTTTAATTATATATATATACATTTTTTTATACATAATTTACATTTATTGAAAAAAAAATCTATATATATATATAAGAAATTTTATATATTTTTTTATAAATTATATATTTGACTTATTTATTTATATTTTTGTATAAATTATATATGTAACCCATGGACTAAATTCATAATAACAAAATTTCTGAAATTTTCAAAAATTGATATTTATCTAATTCTCAAAATGAGGCCTATAATTTTTTTCAAAAATTACACATAAGTCTATTGTTCACTCTTTGAACTTCCCATCACTGCCGTCGCGTCTGGCATCACCGTCAGTGTCGTCGGCGGATATTCGTCGGCTTCTGCCCTCCCAGACGACTCTCTTCGGCCCTGCACCACGCCGTTCAACTTCCCCATCTCTGGCAACGGAAATTCGCCGACTTCCGCCCTCCCAGTCGCAATCAGATTTGCCAATCAGCTCGCCGCGACCGCTATCCGCCAGGATATGGACCGACTCTGGTTGTACCCGACGCCTTCCCGTTGATCCCGGCGTTGTTTCTATCTTGCCGTCAGAGTTGAGTTCTCCGGTGGTTGACGGTGAGTCGTTCACGCCTGAGCTAGTGAGCCTTGTGATGTTGGTCGTGAAGTGTCGCCGGTGGGAGTTGGCAGAAGACGCGTCGCTGGCGACAATGGGCGTGAAGAGAGAGAGACGTGTTGGGGTGTGTGTGTGTGTGTGTGTGAGAGAGAGAGAGAGAGAGAGAGAGAAAGAGAGAGAGATAAAGTGTTTAGTGTGCGTTGGGGTGTGTGCGTGAGAGAGAGAAAAGTGTATTTAATTCAAATTTGATGAGAGGAGAAAGTGGTTGAGTTGTTTGGGAGGTGTGAGTATGTTTGTGTTGTATTGGGCCCCACTGTATTGGTTAGAAAATTTACCACATTACCCTTAATGAAGGAATAATTTTGGTTTTTTTTAACCATCCGATCATCCGATCCAATTAGTACGATTTATTCTTATTTCTTTCACTCAGAACCTTTTCAGAATTTTTTTTCTTCAACGTGAAGTACATTGAAGGGAACTAATACTATGAATTTCTAAGGAAATAAATCAAATTAAGAAAACCTTAATTCCTACACCTACTATATATCACATCCCTTAAGCCACATTCATCTTCATCATCTCCCAACATTAAGAAAAACCCTAGATTTACAACTCCTTCACCTCCCTTAGCTCTCTATAGCACAAATTTGGCCAAGAATCCAGCCAATCAACTGTTTTCCGGCAAACCCGAGTCTACCACGTCGAGCCCGTGTAAGTTTTCAGAAATGAATTGAACTTTTCAAAAACTTCTCCACTTTAAAACTTTTATCGAGCACTACTGAAATTCTTTTCTTTGTCAAAACTTGCTAAAACTGCTTTTCTTTACTTTAAAAGCTTAACCTAAGCCTCACACTTAAGTTCTTAGAGAAATCACTCCCAAACTTCTTTCTTGCTTCTTATGGAATCGAGACATAAAACTTGTAATTATATAAAGTCTCAAATCCACACAATCATATCTCAACTCCAGGTATAAATAAATCGAAATACACATCCAATCTAAAAAGTTTGCGGAAGCATAAAAGTCATAAGTATGCATTGACCGCACTCGCCCTTTCGTATCTGCCGCCAGCTGCCTAACCCAAAAATAACAATGGTGTGAGCAAATCCTCTATGTTCAGTGGTAAAAACATACTACGCATCGATTCAGCATAAGCACAGATAACATAATAAACGTATGAACATGAATCAACTGTTGAACTTATAAAAACCGACTTCAAGCCCCCAAGTAAATTTGGACTAGTGAGCTTTATTTCAAGCCTCCATAATATATTCAGTTGTTTACTATTATACACCGTTAACCCAAATTTCGCTATTGATGGTCCCATAACTAGTTACTGCGAAGGGCTACCTGGCATCAACCGGCCCCATTAGTATACCCAGCATCAATCGATATCGCTAGTATGCCCGGCATCAACCGATTCCGCTAGGGCCTCCGACATCAACCGATAAAACTGATAACTCTGCCCACTAGGCCAATGCTCACATTTCATACCAAAACTATATTACCACATGATTATAATGAATAAACCATAGTGTAAAATCCTCACCTCAAATCGGATGATGGTGATGATTAATATATTCGTTTAGTTTAACATTTAATTTATAAAAATAACTTAATATGATCGACATTTAACTTTAAAAAAATAACTTCAATATATTTAGTCCAACATTTAACTTTAATACTATTTTATTGCGTATTGCACGAGATATGCACTAGTTAATCAAGACACGGGAGGACAAATGGCCATAAATTTTGAAAATCAAACGATGTTTTGGGACGTCATTTGTTGACAAGAAAGTTGGAGAAATTTGAGAACACTGCAATGAGGCTTGTCCCAACTGCTAGAAAGATCACCAGCACCGCAAACACCTTATCCCGCCTACTTGACATGCAGTGGACATCCCTGCAGAAAGAAAGTTCGTATTCAAAACATAAACACAAACACAAGAATTTTCTCAAATCACTTTCTTGCTTTCCCCACTACCGCAAGGATTAGCATTATCGAATATATGCCGAAAATTAAATCGAAGTTGTAAGATAAATTAAATTTAAAACTATAAAACATTTTCTTATTTTTCAGATAAAAATATCTGTGCTAGTGTGCTGCACTAATCACAGTCCCACCTAAATCCTCCCATGAAATTATTTTCCCACAAAACATTTTCTTTGTCTATCTTCTTCTAATTAATTATCTCCTCATAAATTTTGTGACACCTACTATTCATATAATATGAGGAACTGGAAACGAAAAATGTCATTATACCTGAGCACAATAGAGCTGGGAAATATGAACATGAGACACATGACCGTGGTTGTCCCCATAAACTGAAAGAAGATCCATATGTCTGGGATGGCTATGGCTGCCACGTAGATAAATGCAAGCAAAATACAGGTGAGAGACAAAAAACGGACGTTATTTTCCCGAGCCAACAAGGGCGTCTTGGGAAATAATAATTCAGCAACATTCGCCCTCAACGAGTAATTCATCACGGGGAACACCAGCATGAGGTGAATGGCATAACTCAATCTCACTGTATCATTCACAATAATACCAACAACAGAATCTGAAGTTTTGTCAAAGTTGACCAGCATATCAGCCATGATTGAGTCCCCAAAAAGGAGGTATCCAAAGAAGCCCACAGCAAAATATATTGCGACACATAACACGATAGAAATTCGGACGGCCGGCATCATATCAGCGGCTCTGTCAAGCTCTGATCTAATGGGATGAACTAAAAGAAGAGAAAAATAATAATAATAATATAAGTCAGACTCTTGCTCAAACATACTCGGACAATAAAAATACGAAAGCATACTAGCATTACGGTATTGTTCACAAGTTATGACAAATAACTCACCTTTAAAGTGTTATCATCAAGAAAATTGCATGATTAGTCTAAAAGGGCTTATTATTTGAAGATGTATCACAAACAACACTTAATTCTCTTTTTTTTTTTTTTTTNTTTTTGCTTTGGACATGTCATCATAAATATTTTAGCCTACATTATTAACCAAATCCCTGGGATTTAGCCTAAACAATGAAAAGTCCACTTATCAAGCAGAGTTATCAATATCCCCTTGACATATGTCTTTACATTTCAAATTACACCCTCAAAAGATAAAATTTGTTGGGCATGTACGAAAATATCAAATGGAAACATCAAATAGGTATTTTCCAAATATATAAAACTAAAGTGTTTTGTAGCTTAGGTCATATTTCAATGGGTATTACTAGTAATTATGCCCAACAGAAGATAAGGAAAATTAGATAAGAAAACACGCTTCACTATCTTCATAAGAAAACTTGCATAAATTTTTCATCCTTACCATTGACATGGCATCCAAAGGCAGTAGCAAAAATAGGAATTGTGGTAAAGAGATCAAATGCAGAGACGCCATTTGTAAAGTCCGGAACTAATCTTGGTCTCTGTGTCTTCCCTGCCCACATTGCATGTATTGCCATTGCAGAGCATATGGCAACAAAAAACGCAGCTAGAAACACCGATATAGCTGAGGCATGCCTCAGTGAGTCTGCAGGTGACAAGCTGTAAAAATATTGGTCATTCTTGTAAATCAAAATAATCTGCGTGCATTTCTTTACACTGTAATGCATGCTTCTCTCTGCACAATTTTAACATTTTACAGCAAGGGCATTGGTTCAAAGCTGTTTAAAAACTCCATATGCTGCAAAAAAATATTAATTTTATGCAGTTCACTTCAACATATAGTCACAAACTTGCCATTTTCCTTTTTTTTTTCTTATCTAATCATAAACAAGTTCTAACAAAATCAGTGAATACGTAGTTTCGACTCGAAAAGAATTTATATCCTTAGAAGAAGTGAGTTGCTAACCCATGCGCCGAAGAAGTAGCAACGGAAGTAAAATCAGGAGCACAATGAAAAGCAGTGAGAATGCACGTGAGTTCCACCAGTGGATACCGAACCATTCCTGTAGAATGCCCAAGTGTACTGTTCCTCCAGACTCGTTTCCCGAGAGAACATCTCCTGCAAATACCATCAATGAAATCGTAAAAGAAATGAACATATGCGACCATATTGACTACAGAATAAATATTTTCTGACTCTGGAATGAAAAGAACTTCAAGAAAATGTAGGCATGCTGCAATTATGTCGAAACTCCAAATTCAGTATATAAAAAGTGAGTTGAGTGATCAAGAAAGTCATGTAAACATGGATATATGTAGAGAAATAATGTGTGATGCATTGGTGGTATACAAGACTCAGTATTAGCATAGTATTTCCCGACTCTACAAAGCTGAGCTTAGCTAAAAAATGGAATAGAATGAAGTCACCTTTCATTTTCAGATAAATCTAGATAGGGCTGACTCTAAAATTTACGACTCATAAGGTCCCAATATATCAAAGGACTGCCAAGAAAGGTAAGCCAACCAAAACAAAAAGAACAAAAAGAAGAACAAGGAAGGCAATCTGTAGGAAAATATTCCAAACTTTTATTTCAATATCCGCGAATTAAGGATAACTGCTATTAATTCAAAATGGATTTCTCCATGATGCAAAATTTCAATTTCACCATAAGTAGCCAGGAAAAACGAGAAAATCAGTAAACAAGCAAATAATATTAATAAATAAAAAGAAAGAAAACAGCATCAGCACACTCTCAACCATCAACCCAAATCCACACCCACTCGAAGTCAACTCACCAATTATAATCAGATAAATGATCAACGCCCCAAGGTTTGTAATCACAACACAGACTTGAAGCCCGACGGACCCAAACTTCCCGAACGACTCCTCCATCAGCCCTCCGTACGTATCAGATTCCCCCGAGCAAGTGTAATTAAGCAAAAACTCCACCGTGACCTCCACAAAATAAGCAATAACCAAAATAACAAGAAAGCTGGGAAATACGCCAAGGACCTTGAAAGTGGCCGGGATTGACATGATCCCTGCACCCACCATCCCTGTTGAGATGTTGAATATGGCGCCAGAGATCGATGCCCCCTTATTCTCCGATTGCTTGTCCACAGCCAAATGGAATTCAGGGAGCAAGGGAGCTACAACTCCACTGTCCTGCTTTTCTAGCTTCATCCTAGCTCCACCAATGAAAGATGAAAAAAGAAAAAAAAAAAAGAAAAAAAAAAGTGAAAGGAAATAATGTTCTGAGTTTGTTGGTGTTTTTAAGTTATAATTGATATGGATAGGCGTTATATTTTATACAAAATTAATATCATGTCATCAACCAAAGGAAAATCATAATTGACACAATTATTTAAAAAGAGTTGTATATAGAAAAATACAGCCCACATGATTGACTGATGAATTCACATTAAAAAAATGGAATAAGTAGTGGTGGGAAAAGATTGATGTGTTGGCAGTATGGATGTTAATTAACACTACATGCTTATATATTATGTTATCCCATGTTCTCTCTATATAACCATACAACTAATGAGGCCTGGGGAATTGAAGCATTCAATATAATGATCTGGTGTAAAACTAATTTTTTTCTTCTTCTTTTGTAGTTTTCTTCTTCCTGGGAACACATTGATACATGTAAAATATATTCCATGAATGGACATCACATGTCAAGCATCCAAATGAGTGTAGGAAATGGAGTTCACGGACTAGAAAATAAAATCTAATAGCAATCTAAAACTAATTATGAAAAAAAAATGAGGTTTCCATGGACTAGAAAATAAAATCTAATAGCAATCTAAAACTAATTATGAAAAAAAAAAATGAGGTTTCCATAATCAATCAGTCATTCTTTTATCAGTAAGCCTTCTGATGCCAGAAGAGTTAACGATTAGTTAGTCTTACCTGTCAAGAAATATGCATATTTTCAAAGTGAAATGTCATTATCTAAAAACAACATTAGCAAAAGTTAAAAAAAAAAAACATGATTTATTTGAAGTGCTAATTACCTCAAGAAAAAACCATTCCCCTAAGATGGAAAGAGTAGACAGACTTCATTTTCAAATACAACAAAATAACTCAAAACATAATGTTCCGTCCCGCAAAACTACAAAAGAAAATTAGTTCAGGAAACGGATTACGCACTATCAATATCAACAAACGAAGCAAATCAAAACTCCAACGCAATTACGGATAAGCAAAAAAATGGAATACCTCAATGAAAATATTGGAGCCGACAAAAATTACACAAATTGCCGACTCTAGGGCTTTTGAAATTCACCTCCAATCAAGAGACTGAAACTCTCTGTATTTGTAATAACATATCCTTTAGTCGCCGGTTGGGTGGTGCAAGGCGGAGACAGCATATGTGGGATTTTCTTTGATAAATGTGACCAATACTCAATGCAGCCGACCAACAGCCGCCCCTCGAAATTCAGTAAATATACTTATTTTATTTGTTAATAATTTTGGAATTGCAAATCGAAACGACCCGAACTCTCCACNAAAAGCAATATTAGAAAAATTCTAAAATTTGATAGGGCTCAGATGTCATTTAGGATAGGGAAACTAGAAAAAGATTATAGAGGTTAAGAATTAAGGATAAGTTATGCGGACCAAAGTCGTCGACTTAAGAATGCACATAATTTGGCGAGACGTGCATGAATAAAAGATCAACAAAATCTGAAAAAATTACTAGGGAGTCGCGCCGCGAGATGATGTCGTGAGGTCATCACGATGGCAGAGAGGTGAAACATCGCAGGGCGTCGCACCGATACAACAGAAGCTCGAGCCGCGAGCTTTGTCGTGGGCACGAGCTTTCTATCGTGGAGACCTTCAGGATGGTTGAGACTAAGAGTCGACCACGGTGTCGCGTCGTGAGGGTGTGGAAGTTTGCTATGGCGGGATTAGTTGATCATTTGAATGTTTAAATTGTGTTAGGTGTTATGTGTGTTGATGTTTATGCCAATCAGGGACTTGTATCAGATTTTCATTATTCAAGTTAATAAATATCAAAATCTCTCGTTTTCGAGCACAAAATGGTGTCAAAATCAGGACCGTCAAAGTGGGTTTTGGATAGCCGATACACGATTCTCAACATTGGTGCTTTCAAAGAGTTACTAATCGTGTATCATCATGACGCATCGAGAGAGGCTCGAAAATCTAAAGGAGAGAATTCAATCAATGCCCGAGGAAATAACGAATCAGGTGGTGGCTAGAATCGAGCAAATGATGCTACTTTACGACATGCGCGAAGAGGCAACCGTTACGATTCATTCCCAGAAGGTTCAACTGATTTTGAAGTAGAATGCAAATTTCAAAATGAATTTGCAATGGACGATGATGTTGGATTAAAGGGTTCGAATCATAGAGAAAGTCAGCGTGGTGAGAGGCCAAAGTTGATTCTTCCTACATTCAATGGGGCGGATCTGGAATAGTTGTTGAATCGTACCTTTCAATATTTCTAGATCAATGACATACCAACATCCTAAAGGGTTAGATATGTTGCATATTACCTCGACGGTGAAGCAAATGTGTAGTGGCAATGGTTGTCAAGAATCTACCGAAAGGAAAACAAGCCAATTCATTGGAGGAATTTTGAAAAGGAGTTGCTTACTAGGTTTGGAACTTCATATTATTTTGATTATAATGAAGCTCTTTTGCATATCAAACAAACGGGGGCTTTATGAGAATACCAAAAGAAGTGTGAACAAATCGTGAGCTGAGTTTGTGATTGGTTGGAAGGAGCACTTGTCGGCGCATTCATTGTAGGATTTAAGCCTGATTTAACAGCTAAGGTGCAACCAAGAACCATGCGTGCAACAATGGAGGTCGCCCGTATGCGTGACGATTATTTGACGACAATACGCAAGGTCAACTGATCGGAGATGAGACGACCAACACCTTAAAACCATTGCGCAAAGGACCAGAGATATTACATCGTCCGGCTATGTAAAGCTTATTCTTTTAGGGGTAAAACGTTTGCCTTAGGACGAGATGCAGAAACGGCAAGAAAAATGCTTGTGTTTCAATTGTGATGAGAAGTTCACGCTGGGTCATCGGTGCAAAGAAAGGCGATCATTATTAATTGAATATGTTGGTTCTGATGAAGATGAGCAAGTGGAGGATGATTAGAAAAATGAAATTGATTATCATGAAGAATGTAACGCCCCGTTGATTTTTAAAGAAAATCCATGGATTTTCCAAAAATCATAGTAAAATTTCGAAATTCGTTTTTCGATTTTAGAACTTTTTCGGCGTTACTCATTCATTTCATAACATAGTTCAAGTCGTGCCTGAATTGTTGGGGATTCATTACTCGGTTTTCACAAGGATTTAATTATCCAATCATGGTCATAATCAACATAGGCATATCCACATAACAAACCAATTCATCAGGTTTTTTAACATAGAAAATAAACCAGCTCATTGGGTTTAAATTCAATCCATCATGCCAAAACCATAATCCACAGTTTTCAAAACGTCATTGTTTGAAAATAAAACAAGTTCAACATGTTCAATAATACTGCGGAAGCAATAATAATCACAAATGCAGACCAGCCACTCGTCTCCTCGTCGCCATGCCCGCTACCTGCTCAACCTGAAAGGCGGGTTACATGGGAGTGAGCACACCACTTGCTCACTACTATGCACATAAATTAAATATAAATGACAGATAGGTATGGTCGCAGCATGAACATGAATCAATCAACATATTACATCTCTAAAACATATAGGGGGTGATTGTTTATGGATTCAACTAGTTTTTATTTGGTTTGATTTTAACTATAGTTAATTTTGAAAAAAGATAGTATGATTAGTTGTTAGTGGATATATAAAAAATAATATTAAATAAAATAATTAAACTTGATTTGATGTAAAGTAGGAAAAAAATGATTGGAAGTGATAGTTAGTTAAAATTATGTGAGTGGATGAATAGTGAATTAAAGTTGATGTGATGTGTAAGAATGATTGGTTGATATTATTTAATTATATTCATAATATTGAAGATAGTGGGGTTGAGTTAAATGTGAGTTAAATTTGAGTTTTGATTGATTTTTTTTTAGTTAAATTGGTAAAGAATCACCCCATTATACTCATGTGCATACCTATCTGTTGACGGACGTTTCCGGTCAACGGTTAAAAAGTCAAGTAATGGAAAGAAAGCGAGGAAAAGACAAAGAAATACGGTTTAATCACGGTTTTATTAACGGGTCACGAGTTCGGCCTCTCGTACGAGGTCGGCACTTGTGATATACTTACAATTCTTACAAGAATTCCTTACAAGTTCTTTAGAGAGAGAAAATATTAGCTCGAGTAGTTGGGGATTCAACAACCCAAAAATAAATGAGGGGGTTGCTATTTATAGGCGGCTTTAATGCGGTACTGTTTGGATACTGTTCAGTGGTCTTGTCGCACAGTAGCTCAACGGGACAAACCGGCGCTCCTCTGACTGATTGGGAGTGATTTCCGGATTTTCCAATCATTTCCTGCCATACATTTAATGCGAACGTGGGCTGCATTAAATGCGGACACGTTCTGACTGAGTTGGATGTCCCATCGGCAATCATTCGTAGACAAGTGGCATTATTTTATTATGCCCGACGTCGTACTTCTATCAGGAGCCGCCCTTGTGAGACCCGGAGCAGGGTGCCGATCTCGTAGCTACAAGGACGAAGTGCCGATCTCGAGACTGGTTCCCCCCACCGTCCCAGGCGACTTTGACTCTCATTTTAGCCCGGCACCCATGTTCGGTTTTGGTGACCGGCTCCTTCGGCTCAGACCGGTACCTACGCTGGGCCCGGACTCGGATATCAACATACAGGCCCCCGAGCTCTGGTGAGGTATTTCGGACCTCTCCTGAGGTCGTCTTCAAGTGGTTGGACCCGAGTTGGGCCCATCGAGTTCGTGCCCGACCCCTTCGCGAGGTCGACATTTTCACCACACTTAGCGGTTAAATAATCAGGGACGTGGGGTTGTAGCGGTTGGTAACCGAAGACGTGTGGACGTAACGGTTGATAACCGACGTCGTGTGCTAACTGCGTTCACACGGGGGACACGTGGCAACGCCTGGACCAAGTGTTTCTGAGGCGACTTAACCGTTGGCTTCTTTCGGACGTTTCGCCTCTTTTTGCTTTAAATTTCGAATTTCAAAAGATCGTACACGTGCCTGC